AAGATCGCTGGTTTACAAGAGAAGAGCTGTTAGATTCTGCAGCTCATATTGTGTCTGCATACGAAAGCGTAAAGAGAGGAATTCATATCCTTGATAGGTAAATTATTCTCAGAGGACTTCGAATTTAGGCCGGCGAGAGTAAAAGGGCCTTTACCCGAAATAGGCCTCAGGCCTTGTCAAAGTAACGCAGCACAGACCTTGTAAAAGTAAAGCATTGTGAAAAGGTATCTCGGCAGGGCTCAGAAACGTGAAAGCAGGTCAAAGGTCAAGTTCTCTATCAACAGGCACATCTAAAGCTAAGGCAAAGGGCATTGTCAAAAGACTTACCTGTTCACCAGGAGATGTGTATGTCATGTCTGTTCGGGTAAGAGTGTGTCTGTACGTGCAGGCAGTGTACCTGTTCGTGCAAAGTAAAGTGTCTGTTCAAGCAGTAAATGTGTCTGTTCGTTGAGAGTTGTGCCTGTCCGAAAGTTAAGTCAATAGGCACAGTCCCAGTTCTGGTTTAAGTCAAGGGGTCAGTCCAGATCCAGACTTTCAAGTCCAAATACAGGCAGAGAGGCCACAGCAGCAGTTGAACTTCATTGGGACTCTACTGGGACACATGCAATGCAGGGTCTGGGACAAGGGACAGGCTGAATTGAGCCAATGCAGACCCAGCGAGGAGTGGCCAGCACTATAAAGAAAGCTGCCAGCCTCATTCCTCGCCAGATCTCCACTGGCTTGAATGCGTGGAAGTGCTGGTGCACTTGTGCGTTAGTCAGTAGGAGTAGCGCTGGAGGAAGGAAGATGCGCTAAGAGCGAAGAAGAAGACTGTGCGGGAAGGGATGCAGCCATCGCTGCCCAGCGAGTTAGTAAGTAGAGTAGAAGGGTTAGTACTTAGCTATGAGTAGTATCCAGAGTAGATCCTTGTGAGAACAGTGTGTGCATGCATCGTAGGAGGAAGAGATTGAGACGAAGAGTGTTCATTCAAGGTTTGGCTATGGGAGACACTTACCTGAGTTGGTTGTGAACTGCAGAGTTGGCGCTGATGAGTTGTGACCATATTGATGACTAGGAGACAATCTGCAGGGGTAGCGCTGATGCCTTGGAAGGCATATTGATGAGTTGAGCAGAGATTTGTGTTGCGCTGATGAGCGCTGGACTCAGGGGAACTTTGAAACACTTTGAATCATATTCCTGATAATATAAGCTGTGAGACTCGGTCCTCTTCTTCTCTACCTTTGTCTATGGTTGAGACTATTGATCACTGCCTGTGAAGATGATGCATGACATGTACACATCTGCGCGAGATGGTCCCCAGGATCCATGCAAATTTGGTATCAGAGCAGATGCTCGCTACTCTCATAGCGCTGGTCTGATCAAGGCTGGCGAGAAGAAGTGGTGATGGAGGAATAGGGAAGAGGGAAGCAGGTCGAAGAAGAAGTGACGAAGTTACTTCTCTGGAGCGTGCGGAGCGTCGTGGAGCATCATCGGCGGTATCTTCAAGAAGCGAGAAGAACCTCCTTTTCCCTGAACCTGCATGCATGTGTGTCCCCTACCTTCTCCCTCTCTGACTCTCTGAAGGTGACTGCTGCTGATCTGGTCAGGAGTCAAAGTCTGGATCTGGGGTGTCATAGCTGTCAGGTCTGAGTCGTCAGAGTCTGGTGACCCAAGGGTGATGTGTCAGGGACTGGTCTCACTAAAGTAGGTGGTCCAGCATTCTGCGAATAGGAGTAGGTCTCTCTCCTATCCCTCTTGATAGGCAGGCTGGGTATCGTCATCAAGAACCAAGGATCGATGTGGGAAGTGGCCATGTGCCACATCAGATAGCATGTACCAGGCAGTATAAGGATGATATTGAGCATCTGCAGGGCCTGTTAAAGCCCGAAAGAAAGAAAAGGGTATACAAAGTATCTCTGCCTGGGTGGGTAAGTGAACCCATTGCATCTGACTYCTCTGCGATATACTCCATATCTGCACCAAGCAACCAGCCAAGTCAGTAC